GTGTAATAATAAATAATTATTCCTTTATATACCAATGAAGCCGATAACCCCCAAGGTGAAAGGTAATCAGGACAGCTAATTGATGTTTTTTTAGGTTCAGACTTTCAGAGTTACGCATTACAGAAAGAAATTGTATTATTATCTTTGTTTTTAGAACAGGTTTTCCGAAAGATAATTTTTCTTTTAAGCCAGCCGGTCGCTAAAGCAAGATCAGGTCTGGTGTTTCTTCCGCGGAAAGTAAGCCGGACGTTCGAGGTCAGACGGACCGGTTGGACTCCGCCAAGGAGAAAGGAGAGGGTGACGGAGATACAACCTGACCCAAACTAGCCGTGCGATGACACAGTTTCCCTTCCGCATCCACAACGATCCTAATTACTACCTACTGAATTTGGAATTTTGATTTCTTACCAAGTTGACTGAATAAACCCTGTTGACGTGATCCTCATGTTTCGGCTCTTCGTACTCGATGCCCCAGGATGATAGCTCGTTGTTCGGCTCGCTCCTGTGGATGATTTCCCCCCCGGGCGGCGGGTAGTCGTATTCGACTGGAGGCGGCGCTATGTATATCGGTTTAGAATGGTGATGATGGTGTGCGATCTGGAAAAACAAAATTATTAACGATATTTTACTACCATGAGAACTTAAAAGCTTACCTGGTGATGATGATGAAGATGGTATTTGGAATGGTGGTGATGATAATAAGCGCAGAGCTTGAACAGATGGGTCAGCGCAGGGAAGAGGAACAAGAGGACTTTCAAGAGGATCTTCTTCGCCGTACCCACTCCGACTATTATTGGAAGTAGGAACATCAACTTTACTTTTATCAGCTTTATCACTAGCAGCGCGGCCATAAAGCTCGACATAAGCTTCTTCTTGAAGGCTTGCTCTAAAAAAAATTCATTAATAACATTAATTGAAACCAATCACAATGCAAAACTAATTATAATTCTCTGTGACAAATTATCACCCAGGTTCATCAGGAATGTAATTCAACACTCAATGAGATCGTACCGATTAAGCTTCTCCGGCGACGTCCAGGAAAGTGACTATGCAGGCACGATCAGCGAGAGTGACGACGAACAAAGCAGCAACCCGTTACTTTCATTCAGATTTACGATGGCTCAAGGATGTTTCGAGAATGAGTTCAGATCTGCTAATTATGACTTTAGTTTTATGTTTGTGCAACCGCTTCAGAAAATATAGGGTAATAATTGACAAATGGGATAGTATAAGATACTGACAAATTACAACTGTTCTAATTTATCGAAAAGATAACAAACCAAAATTCCATAAACTGGCCAATTAACTCTTGAATAATATCACGTATAGATGATCAATCATAATCAAAGAAAAACTGATAAAACGAACGTACTGCTAAGATTTCAAAAATAACTCATGAGATTTTCACTCTGTCTCTTTGATTGACATGAACAAAGTATTAAATCCATTACAGTTCGTAGTCCGATTGACCAATTAACATTTTTCAATTAATTAATTTTATGAAAGGTATTGGTTAAGATAAAACAGTCAGCGTCACGAGCGGGATTCGAACCCACGACCTTCGGCTAAATACACCGCTACTCTATCACTTGAGCTATCATGACTTCGGTCCGCTCGGACACCAACTTCCCATCTCAACCCCACCTTTTGAATTTTCCCTCCTTTTTGCCATTTTTCAAATGTCGTATAATCTATTTGATGCTGCTAAATCCATTACAGTTCGTGGTCCGATTGATCAATTAACATTTTTCAATTAATTAATATTTATGAAAGGTACTGGTTAAGATAAAACAGTCAGCGTCACGAGCGGGACCAGGAGGGAAAATTCGAGAGGTGAGGTTGAGATGGGAAGTTAGTGTCCGAGCGGATCGAAGTCACGATAGCTCAATTGGTAGAGTAGCGGCGTATTTAGCCGAAGGTCGTGGGTTCGAATCCCGCTCGAGACGCTGTCTTTTTATCTTATCAATACTTTTCATTTATTAATTAATTGATAAACAAAGTATGTTAGCCATTGTTGGTTCGCCTACGAAGATCATTTAGTACGCTTTTTGTAAGACTTTAGTAATCTCTCTTTCTCAATATCTCTCACTCTTTTTCTCTCTTTCTATGCATCTATCTGCCTATCTCTTAATTATCTCTATCTATCTATGACTATCCATCTGTCTATCACTATCGCTATATCTTGCTATCTCTCTAACTCTAAAACTCTAGCTCTCTCTCTATTAATCTTTCTCTCTCTACCCTTCCATCTTTGTATCTCTTTCTCTATCTCTTTATCTCTATTTAGCTATCTCTAGCCATCTATTTATCTATCTATGTGGCTCTTTCTCTTTATCTATCTATCTGTTTATTTCTATCTCTACCGGTCTCTTTATTTCTATCTATCGCTGTACGTCTGTCTTTGTTTCTGTCAGTCTGTCTATCTCTCTCTCTCTCACTCTTTCTCTCACTTTCTATGTATCTATCTGCCTATCGGTTAACTATCACTATCTATCTATATAAATCTATCTGTCTATCATTATCGCTCTATAACTCTCTATCTCTCCCTCTCATCTCTCTCTCTCTCTCTCTCTCTCTCTCTCTCTCTTTTTCTATCTATCTGTTTATCTCTATCTCTACCTATCTCTTTGCAGCTCAGTCTCTTTATTGCTATCTGTCTCTGTACGTCTGTCTTTCTCTCTCTCTCTCTCTCTGTCCCTCTCTCTCTCTCTCTCTCTCTCTCTCTCTCTCTCTCTCTGTCCCTCTCTCTCTCTCTCTCTCCACTCATCTCTCTCTCTCTCTCTCTCCACTCATCTCTCTCTATTTATCTATCCATCTATCCATCGTTGTGGAAAATGTATCTGTATATTTGTCTACTGACTCGTTGGTTTGCTTTTTCTTTCATATTATGTAGTTATACCAAATTTAATATAAATATATTAATCCATTTATAAGCTTAACATGGCATATTTACTCTTCAATATATCTACCTATTTGTCTATATTGAAATGTCTCTATAAATTACTGATTGTTAGAGAATGTTTGTTAAACAGTTCTTTGTTTAGCAAGTCACGTGACAATATATTAAAAAAATAACTAACTTTTGTAACTAAACTTTTTATCAAATAGTTTTGTTATTTATTCATTTATATAATCGAGGCAGGGTTATTGGTACAAACTCAAAGCATGAGCAATCAAACTCATTAGGGAAATAAGCTCGGTCTTTTATACCGAAATGCATGCCATCAATGTTTGTGCCTTGGAAAATAATAAAAGAGGTTACACTGGCCAAAATTCCCCATAAGATCGGTTAGCCAAGCAGCTATTGAAGCAGTAGCATATAAAGAAATCTCTTCAAAACTAATCAGTGAATGCATTCAAAATCTACGAAACCTAGGGAAACAGAACGACCTGATGATATCTTGGGTCACATCTTCCGATTCTTGGAGGAAACAATGTTTTATTGATTGTATATAGCAATAATAGTTTTGTGTTCCTACCTTGTGTTGAGAGTGAATATATTTATTGACGTGAAGGTGTAGTGTGATAACCCCAATGGCGGAATATTGAGTACCCCTCAGAAAGTTAGATTTGTAATAGGTGTAAAGGGTGATCGAGGAACATCGCGTACTCCACCATCCTAACTGCTTTAATGGTATTTAAATGTACTATTGGGGCTGAAATGACCTGGATGTAGATTCCCCTGGAGCACAACCTCGGTAGCGTGAGGTGAGACCGAGGTCTCAGCCCAGACTGCCAACACTCAGGGTGCCTGACGGTAGTAAATTGTAAAGAACAAAAGTTGGAATGGCCGTAACTCAACGTGTACGTGCATGTACAGATTGAGCTTATATAAAACAGTAATCAATAATCAGTAATCTGTAACCTTCATTTGAGTTTATATTTACATTTCCGACTTTATCTACTTTCTTATCTACCTTTTTTCTGTCTACCTATCTATTTATTAATTTGTCTATTTACCAATTTTTCTATCGACTATGTACTATGAGAGAAATGAACTTGTCCTTAACCTTCACCTATCTGTATTTTTATCTAAACTTCTGTTCGATTATTCTGTTTTCTTTCTATTATCAATTTTTTTAATCGAACTATTCAATTATCTTTATGTGTATTAATTCATATTTTGCCTCACTCTCTCTCTCTCTCTCTCTCTCTCTCTCTCTCTCTCTCTCTCTCNTATATATATATATGTACTTATCCTTCAGTCTTTCATTCAAATTGGATATCTAGCTATCTGCGATATTGATTTATCTGTCTACTCATCTACCAATTAATTTATGTTTTGCCTTATCTATATATCTACCTAGTATCTACAGAATTATGAATTACCAAATTAAACATGTTAGGTCCACAGAAGAAGCCTCTGCTGGGTCCCAGGACATATGGGCGGACTCCCTTTCAAGAAAAGGGGCTGCTATACCGCTGGTAGGACCCGAACCCTTCTGTGGCTTAAGAACCCACACTATCAATGAGGACCTCAGATCGAAGGACTAAAAGAAAATGAACGAACAATGGAACTCACTCATTGGACACAGAGAATTCAAGAAACTCCTAGCAAATTTCGGAAGGAAAGAAGTTACAGAATGTGTCAAAGGAAGCAGGAAAAACTGCGAATCCTAACAGGACACTGCAAGCTAAATGGGCACTTAAAGAAAATTGGAACAATCCTAGACGGCACATGCAGATTCTGCAAAAAGGCAAAAAAACACCAACTCACCTACTAACAAACCGCGGTGCTACACTTGCCCTCAAGAGGAAGTGCTTTGGGATGTACAATGGACCGTAGAAGAGATTCAACCACTGAAACCGGGCCTATTAATCAAGTTCCTTGATGAAATAGGACTCACCGGTTGGCTTTAAGCAGAGAACGGGGAGTACGATAGCTCTTAAAGGGCGCAGTATATTACACCCCGACCAATACATCTACATCGAATTATAAACATATTTGCTTACCGATTACTTTCTTACGTCATCTAGTTATAATTAGCCAATCAATTTATGTCTAATTTTATACATCTTTATATTGCATATCGAGTTGTTTATTTATCGACTATTCTTTCTCAGTGTGTCCATTACATACGTCATTTATGAAATCTTGTAGTCTCACTCTCACCCTCTGTCTCTGTACCTATCTCTGTATCTCTCTTTCTATACATCACTCCCTCCCTGTCCTCTCGCTCTCATTTTCTTCTATCCCTTGATACTTTTTACAAACATTTATATTATTTTTAACGAACTCCACGTTGGATTTTCGTGTTCAGTAATAGTTAATTACAATTAACTAACCTAGAAATGCAATGAGACGAACAGTTTGTAATGTATGATGGTCGGGTGTTAGATCTCGTCCATTCTACCAAGCTAAACTCAAATTCAGTATGGTTGAAGCAATCATTTTGTATTGTAAGAAGATGTTTATATTTTTTAACGGTGTAAATTATTAGAAATATTTTCGAAGTCCTGATAAAGGAGATATATCCCTCGAGAGTTTAACGACGAAACTGTTTTTAATTTTTTCAAATTCGCCTTATACCCAATTTTTCATATTCAATCTACTCCAGATATATTGTTATTCCTCAGGTAAACAACATGTCACTTTTAATAGTTATTATAAAAACTGAACCATTACAAAGGATTGAAGTCATTTAGAGAAAAACAGGTCGTGCGTGAAGGTCTATTCAAACAATAGACACCGAAGCGCATCTAATACAGTTCTATTTGTTTTTGTTTTCAGATTTATCACAATATTAACCCGTCTAGCAACAAGGTTGAAACTAATGTTTTGCGAATCTTTCGAGAACAATACGGCGTTCTGGGCGACCCTTTTTCCCGTAAAAAACTACCGGCAATCAGTATTCAGACGAGATGTTTCGCTTTCTTCTTGTCCGC